GATTATTGTTGTTTTACGCCTAGTCGGCAATATTTCAGCCATAATTCGGCGGTATGAATTTAAATACTGTAGGAACGGTTTGAAAGTTTTTGAGTTTCTCAGGCTATTAATTTTGTGTAAATTGCTAGAAAACAATAACCCAGGTGAAATTAAATGCAACTTTTACAAGATTAACACTAATGGTTGATGCTATACATGTACCTGAAACGCGATTTGAGGACGCCAAAGGCCCTTTCTACAACGACCCTTGTCTGTCCGTGGGCCTTATTATAGCGCTCCTCTACCTCTGTTTGTGGATGCAGCTTTGGGGTCATTAAGTACGACTTTAAGGGGTATCCGGAATCACCAACCAACCAGCAGTTGCCTAGCCCCTACAAAACCTCACGCAGCCTGCTATTGTTAAAGATGAAACTATCATGAACGGATCCTGGCCACTTACACACCATGTTCGTGAATCTGTAATATTCATATATCATAAGATATACACTATTGTTTATACTTGAGAAGTAAATGTACACGTATGAACAGTATATGAATAATCAGTCTCTAACCTTAAAGCTGAGTCAACCACGCCTTGAACGTTTAAGGCGTGATATCCTTTACGGCATATGTACACATATTCGTCTTCCTTTGGAGCCAGGATAGGAATCAATGTCCCATCGATAGCGCCTATCACCCCAGGAAAGCTTGCAAGTCTGTAAAACTGTGTTTTGGTTTTTACGATTTCATGTTCTGATGTTGGAAATTGAATATTTTGCAATCGCAGGTCAAGGGCTGAAACAACTCTGTGTATAATTCTGGATACCGTGGGCTGGGAAATCCCGTGTATGTCCCCGCACTCTGACTGAAAGTCTCCTTTTGCCAAGTATCGCAAACACACCAGCATCTACACAATTAAATAAGACAAGATGTGTCTGTGAAACACCAGCCATTCAAAAGTTATGGCCAAGGTTAACGGTTTCTTAAAAGGTGAAATGTATTCGTACCCAAAGGAAGTTCTTGTCTTGAGGAATGCATAGGCGTTGGAAGCAAATTAAAAGTGGGGGGGGGGGGGGGGTTAAATCAACGAAAAAGGTAAGCCACAATTTTCAATGCCTATACAAATACAAATATTTAATTGGCACAAACACAATTACAGGAATTGGTAAAGGCCCACACAGAACACATTAATAAGTATAATAATACAGTAGAACACAACTAGAATACAAACAATTGGTGTAGCAAATAATGTAGTGTGTTAAGTCTATCTTTGCAAGTCTACCCCCGAGGTTCCGACGCCTATGGAATATACATGTAAAATACGAAAGCCATAGCTCCAACCAATTAAAAGTTATGGGCAAGGTTAATCAACTAAGAGACAAAATATTTGATTTGACTATACTGTATGTGTATTGAGGGGTGGTGGTGAATCGATTGGGGGTACGTGTGCTGAAATAAATGCCATAAAATGCATCTAACATTGTAATTTTGTTGATTTAAAAAAATAAATGTGCTTAACCTATTGTTCAAATTTAATTAATGGATCTCCACCCCACGCCCTCCCCCGAACCTTGGCTTGTGACGATGTGGAAAAAAGATTTTAGAATATAAACTTTAACCATTGATAAATAGCAATTTCCAAGGATATATCTTTCTTTTGTAAATATTCAGACAAAAATATTCTGATACCATTACCATACATTATTACTTCTCTGAATTAATAAACCAGACCGGGGAGGGGGGGGGGATATTAGATTATTCCCACTGTGAACAAGCTATTTAAGCTTCCTTTTGGTATGTGAATGTTATTTTACTGGGTCTACAGACACTTTTCCTGAACTGAATTCCTCTTCATTTTTAATAATACAAAGTAGACAGTGAAATATTTAATGTTTAAAAAATTATTGCGAGATTTTTACGATAAAGGCTTTCTATTTTTGATAGCAGAAATTTTGAACATCGGCAAAAAGTACATAAAATAAATGGGATGTTATCCATAAAAACTGCATGTATCATTATAAAATAGAAAATAGGGGAATATTATCATTTAATAAAACAGTAAGGTAAAAAAAAAAGAAAAGAACACAATACGAGTACACACAACGAGTCCCCTTTTTTTAGAATTAATTTTACAATGGATTTCAATCGGGCATGGAATTCATACTTTAACAAAATATTAACATGAAAGTAGTCTGTACTGGAATGTAGGTTCAATAAGTATATTGAATGTATACCTGTGTTATTTCAGGTACCGCATAACTTCGGGAAGTTGGATTTCTTATATCATCTTTCACAAGGTCCGTTAAATGTAAAATATCCTCTCTTTGAAAACAGTACCGTGCTAGTATGTCACCGTCCGTCATTGATTCGAGCGGATTTGTTCTGTCTCGAAATATCCTCGGTGTAGGTAATTTTCTAGTTCTGTTTTGATTTTTTTCTTTCATTAATACAATTAATGCGGCGGCCATTTTTACCTCTAAGACTGTTACCATAGTAATCTTGGACTTACGACAGCCTCAGGGCACTCGTAAAGTTACGATAATTTTTTATCGTAAGATTATCGTAAGTATTTTTGTGAATAGCTCAAAGTCTTCAAAAAAATCTTACGACAATTTTACGTCTACGATTTATCGTAAGATTTTTTGTGAATAGATCTCCTGATTACTTGCATTGGTGTGTGTGGTGATTTGTGACATGATCAATCAAAATAAGTACCTCCTAGTTTTAGCTGTGCAGCATCTGCAGTATATATATCTTTCCACGGACAACGTAAGATTCAGTCAGGTTAGTTCTGACAATTGGGTAGACGTCATTGACTTGATTTCTAGTAGTTTAATGACACTGTGAAGATTGATCCTGATATATTTGACAGGTCTCAAAATCTCAATTTACCGAGGTACAAATACAGGCGATACAAACATTTCTTCGGTGGACTTTGAAGTGACAAATTTTTATTTTCTTCTTGAAATGCGACATTAAAAAGGAAGTGAAAGAGATGTGGGTCAGTCGTCAGCGATGAAAATTTAAGAATAGATTTGAAAAAATAAAAACGCTAAAAATGGACTTGGTTGAGTTTGCACGAAAAGACTGGAAAAGGGGAAGGACATCGAATATCACTTAATGGTTTCTGCAATCGTGAACCATTGGCTTTACAATTTTGAAGGGGACACAAAAAAACAAGGTTTTGAGGAATTTATCCATAACAGGATGTTTTTCCATAACTGTCATGCATTTTCTTTTTCGTTTGGATCGAAATAACGGGTATATTCTGTGTGGAGCAACTTCTTAAAAGGGATTGGAAAACAAATTAACATTTTAAATTTGTTACATAAAATTCAGAATAGGAAAAAAATCGGCATTTAATATTTGTACGAGCTTTTGATAAATTGAATCAGATTTATTTTTAGACAGTACTATATTTTAGATACAGAATAGTTGGCTAATACAACATAGTATACAGGGCTCCGCCCACTATAGTCCCATTCTGTATTGCTAATACAGAACATGAAACCAAGAAAAATACCGCTATCGCGTCACAATAAAATCTTGTCACTTGTTGATCCATTGCATTGAAAATGTCTGCGTTCTGTTTTACTTGATTCCAGATTGAACAAAATTCGATAGCCTTTTCCATAATCATTAGAACAACTCAAATGTTTAGTATCAATCATTTAATGATTTTATATGATTTGACATTCATATGATGACGCCAGAAATTAAAATTGGATTCCCAAAATTTTAATTTTGGTTAGGCCCCTATCTGATGAGACATAATACATCTGATGAGAGATTGATGGGGGTAGAGTATAAGAACATCAGACTGTCTTAAATACTGATGTTACCATTATAATGCACTTAATCTGACAATAGAATCGGGCTCATATTTAACTAATTTAACTCCTAAAAATATTCTAATGAATTTATATTTCCTTTATTGCATTGGTTCGCCTTCTAGGTGACGTTTCTGATTTTTTTTTTTTTTTTTCATTTATATATCATGTTTAGTTTCTTTCTTGTATTTTCCTCAACAATGACGTAAATATGAATTCATTGTATTATAGAAGCTTAATTCCATTTCATAAATTATAAATATTATACATTATTACCTAACCTACTATATAAATTGTAATGAGGCATTTTGAACTGTTTCCTGATTCTTTTTAATGTTTTTGCAAATCATGAAACAGTCAAAACTGTTTACCTGGTCACAGAATGAACTGTTGCATGGCTGAACTGTTCCATTATGACGTCATAATTAATTCCCCGTACTTTACAGCTTTAATATTGAATTATGTATTAATTAAAGCATTTTCATTCAATTTGAAATTATCATCTGAAAAGTAATCCTGATATATAATCAATTTAATATCATTTCGAAGAAGAGGCCATGAACACCTTTTCTGAGGGTAATTTGGGAAAAATGTAGGCCACTTTCACTCAGTATAGTTCTTTGCCATAAACGTGTAATATTCAAATCTTCAAGACATCATTATGTTGTTTACATGTTTTTTTTTTTTAAATTTATTAGTGCATGATAATATCACATCCATTAATTTTTCTGAACACCAATCGGTGTGAGAATTTGATTAATATTCATCTTGTTTAGTTTGTTTTTAAAAAATAATACATGTACAAACATTTGTCGATGTATTTTAAAAGCCATTGATTATTATGTCGATATCATTACTTTAAGAAATTATATAGTAGGTTAGGTAATAAAACACTTATTTCATGACAACTCGGGAAACAGTCAAACTGTTGTCCCTCGATAATGGGGAAGACCTGGGAAACTGTTGCCCTCGGCCTTCGGCCTCGGGCAACAGTTTCCCAGGTCTTCCCCATTACCTCGGGACAACAGTTTGACTGTTCCCCTCGTAGTCATGAAATAAGTGTATACTGTTCCACCAATGTTTGGCTAAAAATAATAAACAACTTTTTTAAAATATTACTCAAAAGTTTGTTTTATAAATATAAATGATAATCAGAAATAAATTTTATTATAGAAATATCAGTATCATTACCCCATGGTGCATTGTCCGTCCTGTAATATATCCTTATATAATGGATGCTGTGGATGGACCTTAAGTTCACCCACCAGGTGGCGTTATTGTAGCCATCAGCTGAAAGAGCGCATTGTCCTTTGAAAGCTGAGAGGTCAGTCTTCAGACCATCAACAGCATTACTGGAATCGAATGTAGCAGCTTCATGAGTATTACTTTTATAAGGATTCGATTGTTTTGTGGGTTTATTCAAAGCTATGTTTTCTGAAACAAGAAAATTATATAAAGATGCTAACTTTGTTATTTCATTTACCATCTTTGGTAACCAGATTTTGCAAAAAAAATACTTTAAGTAACTTCGAAAACACATACATGGATAAACTGCAGTAGCGTGTTTTCTTAGTCTTAAATTTTCTGAAAATCATTTGGTTTCATATGTGTATAACTTTTTAAATAACTATTTCGATAAATTCTGTTTGAAGTTCTAAGGAAATATGTATAGCATAACGACAAAACGAGAAGATGTATATATATATATATATATATATATATATATATATATATATATATATATATATATATATATATATATATATATATATATATATATATATATATATATATATATATCTTTCATTTAAAAAAATCAACCCCTCAATATACATTGAAACGCAAAAGAAATGCAACATCCTAAATTTAGGAGGAAAATTATATTCAGGTTTATAACTTTGTACTTTGAACTTTTTAAATAAAAAATTATAACCTGTATATAATTTTCCCCCTAAACTTAGGATGTTGCGTTTCTTTTGCGTTTCGGCATATAATGTTTAATGGGTTTTTTTCTCCAATTGAGTACTACAACTCACCATATCCATAGGTACATCCCAATGCAAATACAAGAAACCACATTGTTGTGCTAATGAACATAGTTTCATAAGCCTCCCTCACTTCTGACAGGGAAGTAGAAATGACTGTCTACTGAAAGCAAAGACAATAAAAAAGACTTCCTATTAAGTCAGACAATTCTGCATAGCTGCAATACTCCATTAATAGATGTTGGTAGCTAAACAATGTTATGTGTAAACCCACTTTTTCCGTACGATGAACTAAAAAAAAAAGACGAAGAAAATTGCTATAAACTCAGTCAACAACGTTTTAGACACTCTTTTATTTCTAAACTGAGTAGCATCTGAACGATTTTAGACAATTTGTATATAAAAGTTTGTTAACATTAAACATTTACATGTACATCTTGAAGCTCTAAGAACATCTGTATTTGGTTGTTTTAAGGATGTATTCGGCTAAAGTGAATTTAATTAAACTTTCCTTTTTTTTCTTATTTTTCCTTTTAATTAAAATTAAATAAAAGAATAATATATAATAACAAGTGTACGTTTTTGACATTATGTGTTATAGAATTGACGAGAAACATAACTATTTTAATTTCTTTCATAGACTTTAATAAAGGTTTTTATTATCAGAAAACATATGACCTAGATTTAAAATCTTTTACTTTTTTCTTTCATAAAATGCTTAAAGCATTAATTACCATTCGAAATTCATGTTCAAGTGATAAAATATATACTTGCTTTACAGTAAATAAACATGAACAAGACTATGGATAATTAATTTAGCTGAATCTTTCCAATCAAGACAAGAAGCAGCTTGAAAGGCACTTTGGTATATCTACCGCTTAAACGGGCTCTCTACAACGTCACAACATGGCGTACTTCCGTTTGAAACGCCATTTTGGTCCGAAATGAACTGATTCTATCCTAAACAAATTCACAAAACACCGATAAATCACCGGGTATAACACAACTTGCGAGGTGTATACTAGCTTTATTTTGAATTGGATCTAAGACTATCCCATCGAAGCGACGAGAGTGGCCAATTTAGCTTTTCATTAAACATGAATTGTTTGTCAATATATTCAGTTTAAACTTTTTTATCCATAAACAATATAATTTATTAAAATAAAATATGATTATAAGTAATAACTAGATACTCGTTGCGAGCAACGAGAGGTCTTCCGTCCGAATAACTATCCTTATATGTGATATTCTTTGCATGTAAACATTTACATTTATATATGCTCGTAGCAAAGACGCCTCAGGACATTGGCACGGTTCCTGGTTATCGTATAGAATTTTTCAAAAACTCTTGAGTAGGTTTAATTGTACTAAACAGGCTATATTCTGAATCGTTTAACATACCAAGCCAACCTTCTTTTTTACATTTTGTCAAATCAATGTTTTTTGCAATTTTTAATGCATTTTCTATGTAAAATGTTGATGAAAGGGACCTACATAATTTTTCACCATAATATTTCTTCAAAACCCACTTATTTCATATAGTTTTTGTATTATATACATTATTGTATTTTCATTTCCTATGACTTCTAGATATTTTAGCTGAAAATGTAAATATAGAAACAAGACAAGGACATACCGGCACCGATCTCTATTTTTGAGTTACTTCCCTTAAAAAGCTATAATTACATATTATTCATAAGGGTCAAGAGCGTCAGATTGGTTGATTGACTCTATCATGTAACCGACTAAATTGATTGAAACACATTGTCATAAAAATATTGGCATGGATTTATTTCAATTTTCATTCGTAGTTACTAAATGCTGCTTCCTTCATACAGCCTAGAAACTGATATCAGTCGGTCTACCTTTCAGTATATGTCACATCTTTGCCTTTCCCAGCATACTAAGCATAACTATGGTAAATGACGACCTGTTGGCTCTTTGTCTCCTGAATACAATGTACAACAAAGCCATAGCTACTTTTCTTTCGTGCTGTATAGATGATTCTATCCGTTGAAGGAAGTACACGTGCTTTTTGTTTACATCTGTAAACATACGCTTTTTTGGTTTTCACCGCTTAGAGAATTCTACACGGGAGATCACTCTCAATCACTATTTCATGAGTGAAAAAAAAAAACATGTATTTAACCTTTTTTCTCCGGAAAACTTTGACTTGCCAATGTCCTTAAAATATATCAAGGGTCCTTCAAAATTGCAAGGATTTTTAAGGATTTATATAAAACAAATGAAAATAGCGCAGGATTCAGAAAAAAACACCATTTATAAAGATGAAAACGTAAATTAAAGCTAAAAATGAGAAAGAAAATTCAGAATCGGAATGAAACCCGAAATGGTAGAACGCCGTTGACGTTCGAGGTTAGTGTTCGAGGTACGAGCAACCCGAGGAGCTCCGAGTCCCGACCTGCTCGTTGGAGTTTACGAAGACAGCCACCATTTTGGACCCGCTTCAAATTTTAAAATGCAAATATTTAGAGTTTGGATTTATCAATCTTTAAACAAATTATATATTAAGCCTTTTTGGGAATGCCTCTATTAACTCTACTAATATCAAAGAAAAATATTGAAATACAAAAAAGTTAAAAAATTCGACTTTAAATTCGCATCCGGTAACGACCGGAAGTACCGACGACGAACGAAAAGTCACGTCCTGGCTAGCATTTATCACGATCTATAATCCCTGAAAGATTCACATTGATATCTTTTACTGTTCTTGAGATTATCCGCGGACAAAATGTCGTTTAAAATTCAGAAAATGGTCTGTAACTTGGCACCGGAAGTGATTTTCCAAAAAATCTCTCGAATAAAATAACTTTAGATAACAGCAAATTGTTCCTGGAAATTTTATCAAATTCCATCCAGTAGTCTTTGAGAAATCGCGTGCACAAAATTAGATGGGCGGAAAAATAAGAAGAAGAAGAAGAAGAAGAAGAAACAGTAGAATCACTAAAAGGTCTTCCGTGAAGACGAAAGACCTTATAAAGTTAATATGATAAACCAAAGCCTTGTCACCATGATATTTGATCATTGCGTGTCAAACCCAATTATATGTTTCTATAAAGTCCTAAATTGATGCTTCTCTTTAAAAGCATATGCTTTCCAGCGAAATATTAGCATCTATTTGTGTATACAAAATAGATGCCTTTATTTTACGAGAAAAGTTTATTTGCAGGGACCTATATACTAGTATATAGGTCCCTTATACATTGGCTTTTAAGAGTCGGGCTTGGATGACACAGCAAGTATCTATATAAAGGGTCGGGTTTGTTCTTCACATTCCTTTCTGCTGAACCTTTCAAAGGTAAAGACGCATAACAAATGCTTGCAAAAAATACATCTAATTTTTGCTTTGTAATTTTAACCCTCCCTCCCACCACCTTTATTAGAATTTTTTGTTTTCTAGTAAGGTAGGATTTTCTGCTGCTTGGTTTTTGCTTTATTTTGCAGTGAAACAGCTGTGATCTTGACGTCCGAGATGAATACCTTATACCTATACAGAAAACCATCCCGGTACCTTCTAAAGGAAAAGTGAAAGTGAAGAATTTGCCGCATCAAGTCCATTGCCAGCTAAAACGTTTGTGCAGAACGTGCATTCAACTATCTCTGTGCAGTATGCTAACGTCAGAACGCAATAGTGTTGCAAACTCGGACCAAATTTACTATCGTTTATAAACTGAATTGGTAGCATACAATCTATTAAAGGATTGATAGTTTGAACTTTAAAGGTAATTGTCGTGGCACTTTCTGAAGGAGAACTCTTTAGAGTGAAGCATCTGCGCACACCAAGTCAACTGATAACTGAATATTTGTGTGAAACTTGTACTGAACTGTCACCTTGTTGATATGCTAATGCTAGTGTAAACTAAGCTAATAAGCTTACTCTTGGTGACAGTGATATATACTTTAGAGCTGTAATATAAAGTACAACTTTGAAATATGAAAAAGTTTGATATTTGAAGTTTGAGATGTTTGATCTATCAAGTTTGAGATATTTGATATATTATGTACAAAATTTGATATATGAAGTTGATATGCTTGATATTTGAAGTTTGAGATATGACTTTGATTTTGAACAGTTTGTATGTTGATTTTGAACAGTTTGTATGTGTGCTGACCCTCCGCGGTAAACCCGGGACGGTTAGACTTTGAAGTTTGAATTTGGTGGGATTGCCCAGTTGAAATGGCATCCCACAATGTTTGTATTTTCTTGTGCCACGGCCAATACTCGCCACAATAAATAAGTATAAATTCTATACTGAGTTTTGTGTCATTTTCTCTGTATAAATAAATCCAAAAATGAAAATTTAAACAGATTAAGCATATGTATCACCTTCCCATCGCCTAGAGGAGACACCCTGTTCCCAACAAGTATACACCCCGCATGTGTGGTTATACACGGTGAAATTGAAACTTTTCGTGAAATCACCAAAACGCTTCGATAATAAGTGGAATTATATTAACTCAAACGTTTGATCAACATCGATTATCAGCTGTTTTGTATTGAAAACACGCAGATTTGAAACAAAGTAGGAATTTCGTTATACGAATTTCTTTAAGGTTTTGCCAAAGGTCAACATGTCCAAAAATTTATTTTTACAATAGCTCCAAAACTATGTGGTTTATTAAGTTAAAACTTTTACAGTTGATAAATATATCATTGATTAACAGATAGAAAGTATCACTTCATAACAAATACTTAAAAAAAGATATTTATCGAGAAAAATTCTTTTTAAAAAATGCATATATTTTTAGAAAATACACCTAATTAATTCCGTACTTTTGGTGAAAGCCATCAATGCAGAAACAATATATATTTATCAATGAAGGGCAAGTTGGACTTCGTTAGCCTCTGGACAGTTGTTTTCCCTGTTTATTTTGTCCAAATTTTAAGATTTGAAACCGAAAGTACAATGCAAATGGCGGATTTTATAGGGGTCTTGTCTTTATACATGTCATGCTTTCAATAACAGCCTTTCAGAGACCATTCACGTCCAACTTGCCCTTCATTGATAAACATATATTATTTCTGCAATGATGGTTTTCACTAAAAGTACAGAATTAAGCAGGTGCATTTTTGTTAAAATATGCAAATTTTTTGAATTTTTTTTTCTCCAAAAAAATTTGTTTTTAAAAATTTG